TCCAATCTCCTCCTTCATTATGGCCAGCTCAGCCTGAACAGTCTCCTTCACAACTTCAATCGCGTTGTTCATTGAGGTAAAGATGGTGTTGTTGATGAGGGACACAAGCTCTTCACGCAACCCTTCATATCTGATCTCCAAGCTCGCCAATCGAGCCCCCAAAACTTGAACATCACCTTGGAGTTGGGTGAGATTAGCTCCCAAATCCTCAACTGCAGTGGCATCTTCAGCCACCTTCACCTCCACTTTAGAGACTGGTTTCTCTAGAGCCTGCACAGGATCACGAGTGCTGGAAGTTCCTTTTAGCCTCAAGCTCTTCGTGTGATGTCTTCCAAGTTGCTTGTTGTCACCAGTATCGACTTCTGATCCAGACATTTTTGGTGAGGTTCCTCCTCTTTGTTTGGCCTTTCATCTTCTTTGCTAGCACCAAGCCAAACCAGGTTATGATACCACTTGTCACGACCTTACTCTTGGTCGTACGACCTTAGCTCTCAATTTCGTTAGAGAACTAACCACCCTTCTCTCAAACTCACTAGCAAGCAAAGAAAGACAAAGAAGACAAAGGATGTGAGAACTCTCTAAGTGTATTACTCTAAAAAAATATGGGATGATTACAAATGAGCAAGATGACTCCTTATATTGACCTCTCCACATACAAGGCATCAGTGCCCCTCATAATGCACTCTCTTAATATCATCCATAATGCTTCTAGTTTTCCATACACGCCACATGTGCATCCGCCATGTTGTCACATTATTGGCATCATGTCATCTACCACATATGACAATACCCGGGACCATAGATTTGATTGTCATCCTTAGAAGTAGCTACTCGCTTCTGCATGCCCTTAAATGATTTTTTTTTACGGGAATTCAGAAGTTATTTATTGGTAACGAGCACGTGCATGAGATATAACCACACATTCATCAAAATAAATAACATTTAGAGATTAATTTTTTCCCCCCGTTGAATGAGATTACAATTTTCACTTATCGTGTCCTTTATCAATTTCCCAATTTACTATTTTCGGATTTTCACTCCTGTCCCTGAACTTTCTGCAAAGGAAAAAAAACGAAAAGAACTCGGCAGCGAAAAGGCAGCCAGGATGCGGAACACAAACCAAAATCATACCGAGACGCAAACGGTGAAAAGGGGGAAAATCGAAGTGAAAAAGTGAAAAACGGTCGCCAACGGCTGTGGTCGGTCGGTCGTTCTGTGTGTTCTCTTTGGTTTTTTTTCTTTCGTTATTCCGTTGAATGAGTCGAACGGCACAGAACTACGAGTTCCAACAATGGTGGAACAAACAGCGCCACTCGTTCCTGGACTCCGCCGACGATAACCCGCCGAGCTCCGCCGCCGCTTCCTCTTCCTCCTCCTCCTCCTCCCTCGCCGTCGACCTCACCTCCTCCCCCACGGCCACCACCAAGGGCCACCACACCCGCTCCGCCCGCCAGCTCTCCTGGCTCTGGCTCCTCCGCTTCCACAAACTCACCGCCTCCGTCGCCTGGCTCACCGACTCCTCCATCTCCCTCCTTCGCACCGCCAACCGTCGCATCTCCAACCACCACCGCTCCCCTTCCGCCTACTCCTCCTCCCGCCTCAACAAAATCATCCGCCTCTTCTTAATCCTCGTCCTATTGCTCCTCTTCCTTGAGCTCCTCGCCTACCGCCGCGGATGGCATTTCACCCCGCCTTCCGTCGAATCCGCCGAGGCCCTGGTAGAGCGCCTTTACGCCAAATGGCTCGAAATCAGGGCCGATTACTTGGCCCCGCCCCTCCAATACCTCGCCAATGTCTGCATTGTCTTGTTCCTCATTCAATCCCTCGATCGCGCCGTCCTTATGCTCGGCTGCTTCTGGATCAAATTCAGGAAATTGAAGCCGATTCCGCCTGTCTCATACGCTGCGCCCGACGTTGAGGCCGCTGAGAATTATTACCCCATGGTATTGGTGCAGATCCCCATGTGCAACGAGAGGGAGGTAAGCTGATGTAGGTTCTATTACCCTTGCTTTCTTTTAGGCATATTGTCGAACACTTGGTAAGCATTTTCTCATTTTTACTGTAATGTGATTGCAGGTTTACCAGCAATCTATAGCGGCGGTTTGCATCCAGGATTGGCCGCGCGAAAGAATGCTGGTACAAGTCCTGGATGATTCTGATGACCCGGATACTCAAGTTCTTATCAAGGGTGAAGTTCAGAAATGGCAGCAGAAGGGTGTGCAGATTGTGTACAGGCATCGTTTTGTCCGAACAGGTTACAAGGCTGGTAACCTGAGGTCTGCCATGAGCTGTGATTACCTGAAAGATTACGAATTTGTGGCCATCTTTGATGCTGATTTCCAGCCAGCACCAGACTTCTTGAAGAAAACCATTCCCTACTTCAAGGTAGAGTTGCGTTGGTAAACCCATTGGCAATTGATCTCGTTTTCTGCTGCTCTGATATAACCTTCACTGTGATCTATTGTATTGATGAGAAGCTGCTCTTTGTTATAAGGGAAACGATGAACTAGGGTTGGTTCAAACAAGGTGGGCGTTTGTGAACAAGGATGAGAACCTGCTCACTAGATTGCAGAACATAAATCTGTCATTCCACTTTGAAGTTGAGCAGCAAGTCAATGGCATTTTCATCAATTTTTTCGGTTTCAATGGCACGGCTGGTGTGTGGAGGATTAAAGCCCTAGAGGATTGTGGGGGCTGGTTGGATAGGACAACTGTTGAGGATATGGATGTTGCTGTTCGTGCTCACCTTTCTGGGTGGAAGTTCATCTACCTGAATGATGTGAAGGTCTGCATTTCATATGAAGCATGTTTCTTTCTATTGCAAGCGATATGCTAGGTAGGTAGTGTTTTAGGGTTTTTAGACATTGTAAACTAATGAACTCCTTGGTCTATCGTTTACAGTGCCTATGTGAACTTCCCGAGTCCTATGCAGCTTACAAAAAACAGCAACATCGTTGGCACTCAGGTCCCATGCAGTTGTTTCGCTTATGCTTCGTTGATGTGCTCCGATCAAAGGTGATTAAGTTTTTTGTTCTCTGCTATTGAGAATTGAAATGTAATTATTTACCCAGCAGCTGATAGCTAACCTTTTGTAGCAACTGAGGTCAATAAATTTTCCGCATGAAACGTACCTCCTCTCATAAACATAAGCTGCAAGACTAAACCCACCTTTTTGTTGCCTAAAACTTGGGATTCAAGATAACCCGTGATAATTGAGGAGACCCTTTCGTTCATAACAGATGTTTGTTTGCTGGTTGCAGTTGAGTGTGGGGAAGAAGGCAAACCTGATACTTCTGTTCTTTCTCCTGCGGAAGCTTATCCTGCCTTTCTATTCATTCACTCTTTTCTGCATCATTCTACCCCTCACCATGTTCCTCCCAGAAGCTGAACTACCGGCTTGGGTTGTGTGCTACGTTCCTGGTCTCATGTCCATCTTGAACATCTTGCCAGCCCCTCGCTCATTTCCATTCATAGTCCCTTACCTTCTATTTGAGAACACCATGTCGGTCACCAAATTCAATGCCATGATATCAGGGTTGTTTCGCCTGGGAAGTTCTTATGAGTGGATAGTTACAAAGAAGTTAGGAAGATCGTCAGAAGCAGACTTGATTGTGCTAGCTGAGAAGGAATCGGATCCTCTGGTGTTGGAAAGCTCTGGGATCCACAGGTCTTCATCTGAATCAGGCCTGGATAATCTGAACAAGCTAGAAGCGAGCAAGAAAACGGTGAAAAGGAAAAGAAATCGTCTGTACAGGAAGGAACTGTCCCTGGCGTTCATACTGTTGACTGCTGCTGCTAGAAGCTTGCTGACTGCTCAGGGGATCCACTTCTACTTTTTGTTGTTTCAAGGGATTAGTTTCTTGGTCGTTGGTCTTGATTTGATTGGAGAACAAGTGAGCTGAGCTGACTAAAAAGTAGGCATAGATTTTGTACACTTTCTTATGATCTGTTTTTGTTACAAGTTGGTCCTCGTCTCCCTCCCTTGCCCAGTGCAGTTTTGTGCATTCTTTTTATTCATGTTACTGCATCTCTTTGTTCATAATACAGCTGCCAGAGGCGGTTCGGAGCAGAATGAAAGAGAGAGTTGCTGTTTACAATATATTATCACCACGAGTTGTTTTCTTTAACTCTACTAGGGGAAACCTGGCCTCGCTCCGTAGTGGCTTGGGTGCAATTTTGTGCTTAGATTTGAGTTATACCTGCAAAATTTTATGTACGTTATGGTTTTTGGTAGTTAATGTATGACACAACTAAGTACTAACTCTTTTGGTACAATCTTCAATACAGTTTCACAAACCTTGAAATTAATCCCATGCAAACCACAAAAACTGAAAAGAATGCCACAAGCTAAAGACCACACGTGTACGTGACAACAGAGGAACGCTTTCATCACGTATATAAGGATGTAGAGTTCTTGCGGGTGAGCAAAAATAATGACAACCGATTCATATTAGCAAAACCCTTATTGAATAGTAACACTATTATATCTTCAATAATATTCATAGATGGTTACCATTTGCACCGCGAAGCACACTATGTGTAACATCCTGTACTATTTCCGATCAAGATATTTTCTACTTTAGAGCTAGATCCTTACAATTTTTGCTTTGAGGTGCATAACAAAGTGACTTACTATAAGGTCACTATTCACTAATCCCTGTAGTGCTACACAACGATCAATTCACGAGAGTGGACACTGTGTTTATATATTCTGTCATTTGCATCGACGGTGGCCAAGGAAATTTGGAACTTCACTATGGTGTTAGCAGGAGAGAAGAAGTCATTTTCTAAGTTACCCAACTTTTCACGAATACCATACGCTAATCTCCATCTTGCTTTGTTTTTGGTAATTTTGAAGTTTTCAGTTTCCTCCTGATTTCTTCTCATCTGCTTACTTCTTTGGGGTTTGTTATTTTGTTCTTTGAAGCGGACCTTGCTTTGATATTAGTTAATAATAATTTGTTTTCGGTAGGCTAAATTATCCATTTTGCTATGATTTTGCTATTGTTAGAACCTTATTAACAACTCTTAGAAAAATTCGGCTCTTAAATCACAAGCCAAATTCGACTTGGAGCGTAAACAGCAACTATTTTAATTCCAAGTTTCTATGAGGCACAAAACTGGAATGGGCGTAAGCTGAAAAGGCAATGAATTGAGACCAAATTCTAAATCAGAAACAGCGGGCAAAATCTCTGCAGTGCTCAAACACAATTTCGGATGACCAAACAACAATTGTTCCACTAGCTAGTAAAAACAATTCATCACTTTCACTACTCAGCGTCCGAAAGACAAAATGCTAGGCGACCAAACACATAGGTTTAACTTGAAGGAGATTGACTTTTAAGCAGTAGCAGCACCCTTGCCCTTCTTCCTCTGGAGTTTCTTCATGTAAAATTCAAGTTCCTTGCCTTCCAATATGTAGCTACAACACAAATACAGTATATAAATGGCCAACCATAAGATGCAATACAAACACATCACAACAAAGGGGGGGAAAGGTCCGAACACATTTATGCTTAGCTTACCCATCTGCTCTACCGCATTGACCAGGTCGAGAAGATATGCATGCCAACAATCTACCACCACTAAATTGCTCCTCGATGTGGCCATCCAGTTTGCGATCTTTCTGGCGATTCTCAATCTTCCTCTGGACATGGCTACTCTTCTTAGCTTCTTCAGGAGCAGCAGCTATAGCAGCATCTCCTTCCTACAATTGTAGGACAAAATGTAACAATCATTATACAGTAAAAGAAATTATCACTTTCACAACATCTTATGACGGATCATAACATTGGATTCATTCTCTCCAGCAAACTACTACCTTAAAAGCACAACTTAGCCACAAACAGACTTTACCCTGCTGTTCTTGGTATGGGTAGTCAGCAGATTATATATTCCAGAGGCTATTTATAGGTCAGAATGATCCTAGTTTGGTGACGTATTCGATCTACTAGTCGGCTCATGTGCCAGCTACATAGAACATCAAGATCACACCTACTACTTGTTCTAAGAACGAATACCAATAGAGGCAGGAAAACAGCAAAGACAGCTCGAGATTCGCTTCAGATATTCATGACGTGTCAGAAAATAACATATATAGAGGACAAGCAAATGTCCAGACAACCAACATAAACCTAGAATAGAACAAACAGGACAATGAACTGGCAATCTTGATTTTACCTCAGTAGCTTCCTTCTTAGCGGCTGTCTTCTTCTTCCTGCCAATGTCGACACCGTAGTGCTGAAGGTACCATTGCTTAAACGGAGCTGCATCGACTTGAATAATGGCACTCTTCACCAGTGTCTGTGTCCTAACAAGCTCATTGTTTGATGCATTGTAGACCACATCAAGAATACGAGTCTTGCGGGTAACAGCCTCGCTACCCCAGGAGAAATTTCCAGTGTCCAACCTCAGGGCCCTCCACTTGACATTGCCTCCTCTAACACGCACCCTCCTAACAGTTTTGTTGCTCGAGAGCTTGGTGTTTGCTGGCTGACGTCCAAGCTCATACCTTAATCAACCGGCAATAAAATCAGATCAGAACCAAAAAAATGAAGAAACCGTCCGAACAGAAGTTTGCCAAAATAGTAGAGCAGTAGATAGGGAAGCGATTAAAGCCGACATCCCAGGCTAAAAACACAACAAACTGACCATTTGGCAAATTCGCTTTAAGAACTCAAAAAATGAAATAGCAAATGGGACAACAGGATTTCATATGATTTTACCCTAGAGTAACCAGACAGAATCGAACTAGGGACATAGTCAAGTTCTGGAATGTACTAAAACACACAGAAAAGCATTAGTATCTTAGAAGCTGATTGAGGCAGAGAGAAACTTACTTTCGCTTCTTCCTCCAGACCTTCTTCTTGCCACCAGTGGCGCGCCTCTTGTGAAGAGAGTCCCTGGAAATACCTGCAGGTCAGAAAGGAGAAGCCTGTAACCATTTGATGCGAGAGGCGGCCATTATAAATCAGCATCTAGCCCAGGTAAACTGTAAAGTAGAGCTTGATAATGGAGACGGTGGAATGGGGGAGGACGGATCAGTACCCATGTTGAATCAGCGGCGGCGAACTGTGACCGGCTTTCCCTCTCTCGGCGCGGCCTTACCTCTGCTGCACTGCTCTGGAAAACTAAAACCCTAGCTAGCTTTATATGCGCAGCCGCTTTCGATTTCGTTCGCGTTTATATCCAGTTCCAGTCCCTCAACTTTGGTTAAAGTTAGTAACCGGCCCTTAAAACTTCATTTCGGGACGCAAAATTACAGTTAAGCTTGGGCTAGGGCTACTTTGGGCCTCAGGAAGATAAGCCATACTTGTGAGAGAACGGCGAGGGTTTCATTTGGTAGGCCTGGTATAATGCAAAGCCCAAAATCCCCATAATTCAACAATGGCTAAATTACACATTTGGTCATTCAAATTACATAAATCTTTCACATTTGCCATCCAAATCATTTTTCTTTCTTATTCGTCACTAACTTTACCAATCATTTCATCGTTAGTCATCAATCGTTTGTCCATCAGGATTCCAAACTCGGCGTTGACCACACTCCAAATCACATGTTCCTCTTGGCCCCATCCCCCTCGCTCCGACGCCGCCGAGAGTTTCCCCTGTTTCAAAGTTATCGTCGGATTTCGTCGCTAGACTATGCAGACAAGTTCTCTCTCTTTCTCTCATTCAATTTGTTATGAAGACCTCAAAGAGCATGATTTTCGATATAGAGAAAGGGGATTTAGTCAACGAAAAACTCCTGCTCCCATTCAGATCACATATCTCCCAAAGAGATTACGTTAACAAAATTGGGCAGATTAATGCTTTATTTATTTATTTATGGTGAAATAGGAAAGTGTTTTTAGGATTAGTGGTGGAGACTTGGTGTAGAGAGAAGAAGTGCATGCTGGGGTCTGGGCTTGAGGGAAGAGAGGCAAGGGTAGTAGGAAAAGTTCTCTCTTCTACTTGAAGGAAGAAAACTAGTGGTGCCAGATCTGTTTCTGTCGGGTAGAGTGACAGAGTTGAGTTGCAGAGGATGGAATCCTGATGGACTAAGGACCGAAGAACGGTGGCGTTTGGATGATGAAGAAGGAGTATGGTTGAAGTGAAAAACGACAGTGTTCCACTTATTTAGTTAGCCGTTAATTTACACTGTTTGTTTAAACTAATACCCTATCATGTAAGGACACGTGGATTATGTTTGTTAATCAATTTCGTAGTTATAAAAGCTACTGGAGACTCAGTACACATCTAAGCTTTCCTCTCCATTTTCACTTGTCCTTTTACAAAAGTTTACATGGTATCAGAGCCAAGCGAAACCTAGGGTTTCGACTGCGTCTTGAAGAATGTCTGGCGAACAAAGCACGCCGCCACCAGGTGGGAACCAACGATCCCCCAGTGGAATAAGTGGAACAACATGAGACATCAACAATGGGCGTTTCCAGTTTGGATCCTTTGGACAACAGCAGCAACCTACCACAAAGACCATCACATTTGGTAATCCCTACTACTTGAACCCTAATGAGAATATGGCACAGTCACTGGTTGTTGAACCATTTGATGGAACCAATTACACCATGTGGGCAAGATCTATTCAAGTAGTGTTAAAAACTAAGAATAAGCTTGGGTTTCTGGATGGATATATCCCAATACCTGCTCCTGGGTCAGATTTGTTTGGTATATGGGATCCTTGTAACACATTGGTTTTGTGCTGGATACAAAACTCCATGACTAAGGAGCATAGACGTGCAGTCTTGAATCATAACAACTGCAAAACTCTTTGGGAAAAGTTGAAGAGGCGTTTTGGACAACCAAATGCTATGAGGATTGCGAACTTGAAAGATGAGATTCTGGCCTGTAAACAAGGTACCAGAACCATTAATCAGTATTATACAGCAATCAAAGGAATATGGGATGAGTATACAGAGTTTTGCCCAATAGTGCCCTGTGCTTGTGCACTTGGTTCAACTCTACCCTGTGCAGCAGTTGAGGCCTTTGTCCAGAAATAGGAGACAGACTACTTGATCAAGTTTCTTCGAGGAATCAACCCAGAATTTGAAGCCATCAAGACACAGCTGTTAATGCAGAAGCCACTACCTAGTGTTTCTGAGGCAGTTGATGACCTTTTACAACATGAACAGAAGCTCAAGGCTGATGCAGTTTCAGGAGGAAAGAAGAATCAGACCATAGCATTGGCAGCTTCAGGTTCTAACGACAAGGGAAATGCAGACAATCCTCAGGGCAAAAAGTACTGCAGATATTGCAAACGGAACAATCACAACATTGAGGATTGTTGGTGGCTTAAGAAGAAACAAGGAGAACAGCAACAGAATGATGGTTACTCCAGTTCTAGTTCTAGTTTTGGTACTCCCAGGTTTGCAGGGTCAGTGGCCCAAAGAGGAGGAAACAATGTAAGTGACTCACACTCTGAAGGTCACACAACTAGAGAAGGTATGAGCCAAAATCCATCTGCCTTTACTCCTGAGGAAATGGCACGACTCAGATCCTTGCTGCAAGTTGGTGCTAATACCCTACCTTCACCACCTTCCTCACCTTCTGTGAACCACCAAGCCTTCACTGCTTCTTACTATCCACCACATTTCCCTAACCATTCAGGTATACACATCATTTCTTCATCTCATGTAGCTAAGTCCAGTAATAGTAGCTTATGGATCTTAGACACAAGGGCTTCAGACCACATAGCATGTTCCATAACTATGTTCACTTCATACCATCCAGTCACAGAAACCTATGTTTTTCTTCCAAATAGGACACAAGTCACAGTCACCTGTATTGGTACAGTGGTCTTACCTACAAGATTAACTCTCTATGATGTGCTCTTAGTTCCTAGTTTTTCTTTCAATCTCATATCAGTTAGTAAACTCACTCAAGATCAGTCTTTGTCCTTACACTTCCAATCTTATCATTGCTCTATTCAGGACCTTCTAAGCAGGAAGAAGATTGGTTATGCAAAAGAGTCTAGAGGTCTTTACCAACTGATTATTTCTTCAAGTCCTTCCCCTACACCAGTACACCATCAAGCAGCCTCCATCTTCAATTTCAAGCCTCAAGACATACACCTTTGGCATTGGATATTAGGCCATCCTAGTCATGACAGATTGTCCATGTTTCACAATCTTATTCCTGATGTAACTCAGTCTAAGTTAGCACACTCTGATGTTTGTCACTTTTCCAAACAGAAAAAACTTCCATTTCCCATTAGCACCAACACAACACCTGAGAAGTTTCATTTATTGCACATGGATATTTGGGGACCTCTTTCAGTTGTTTCTTATGATGGTTATTATTATTTCTTGACTGTTGTGGATGATTATTCTCGAAGTGTATGGGTCTATTTGATGAGACACAAGAGTGAAGTCAGAGGGCTCATTCAAGGCTTCTGCAACTTAGTTAAGAATCAATACAATACCACTGTTAAGATCATTAGAAGTGATCAGGGCAAAGAATTTGAAATGTGTGAATACTTTGCTGCTGAAGGAATTGAACACCAGGTTTCCTGTGTTGAAACCCCAAAACAAAATGGGAGAGTGGAAAGGAAACACCAACACATCCTTAATGTGGCTAGGTCACTGAAATTCCAGTCTGGTCTACCTTTAGAATACTGGAGTGATTGTGTGTTACATGCTGTCTGTCTCATTAACAGACTTCCCAGTTCCCACCCCCATTTTGCAAAACAAATCCCCCTATGAGGTCCTCCACACTGAACCACCTATTTTGAAACACCTCAGAGTGTTTGGCAGCCTGTGCAATGCCAACACTCTTTCTCATGGGATGACTAAATTTGCTTAGGGGTGGGCAACGGGACGGGATACCCGTCCCGTTTGAAATGGGCACCCGTTCCCATTTAGAGAGCAATATCCATCCCATGTCCCAAACCCGTACGGGTTAACGGGTACCCATTACCCGTACGGGACGGATAACGGGTACCCATACTACCCGCAAATACCCATCTAATTGGAAGTAGCAGCAAATCCACCAAAAAAGGAAATTTGACTATTAGAACCTTCTCTGCTTCTCTTCTAGTGTCATTGTGATGTTGAATTAAATGTGTAGGAAATTTCACTATTGGATCTACTACATCTGTCACTATATGTTGAATGTGGTCTCGTTACCACTCTGGCCACATTTCAACAGAGTTAGTAGCATCAGACCACTCATTACCACTCTAAAAATGTTGGAGTAGCTAGTTAACAGGGAATGGCCAGAAGCTCGGTTGCTCCTTTATGGTTCCTGTGCTAATTCTTTTGAAGTTTTAAAGAGTGATGTTGATGTCTTCCTTGCAATTGAAGATGGTGATGCGAGAATAGCTTTCTCTTTGCGCACAACTATATAGAACTTTGATTTACTAGGTCCTTAAGGTATATGCAAAGATTAACAAAATAGGAATGTGGTTAAATGGGTCAACCGTTATGGATTTCGAACCATAAGCAATCTGTTGCATAGGTTTAGTAGCGGCAGAGTTACGATTGTAGTGTTTGGGCTTTTGGACTAATGGGTATAACGGGTACCCGTTATACCCAAACGGGTATTAACGGGTAACCCGCGGGTACCCAAAGTAGTGATTCATGATCCCAAGTCCCATCCCGTAAAAAAAATTACGTGTATTTGGGTACCCGATCCCTCAAAAAACGGGACGGGTATACCCAAATACCCGTTTCCCGTTGCCCACCCCTAAATTTGCTCCCTGGGCAAGACAGTGTGTGTTTCTGGGTTTTCCTGCTGGAGTGAAATGTTACAAAGTTCTAGACATTCATACCAGAAGAACCTATATCTGTGGCGGCCGGAAGCATAAAACCCTAATGCGAAGCAGTAAGCACAAAAAGTTTTAACTTGGGTACTGGTGGCGAAATCGGAGCTAGGAATTTGGGGGTTTCGATTTACTTGGATGGTATCTCGGGATTTCAGGTGACGAAGAGGCTTGATTCCGGCGACGGGGAATGGAAGGACTGGAACTAGCGATCGAAAGGGATGTGATGGTAAACTTCGTATCGTCGGCTAAGAGATGAGCTATTAATTATTTTGTTTTAATTTTTAATTTTTTAAAATCGACATATCATTAAGTTAACGGTCTAGTCAGCATTTTTGTTTGCCATGTCATCGAAATAATGACAGAGTTAATGGAGTGTGAGGGAGACTAACGGTCGGTG